AAGGGTAGGAACTTCATATCGTGGCACAGAGACCCAAACTTGATAGGGGCCGATGCTTTCACAATTTCATGGAAACCCTTGAATTTCGACGCTTTTCCTTCATTTTCGCTACTGCCAATGACTTTACAAGAAATCGAAACGGAACAAGCATAAGGCATTGCCATTTTCCCCCCATGGGAAAAACAACCATGGTGCCGGAAGCTTCGAAAACTTCTAGTGTCAGACATCATAAAATTCAAACCCAATAGGGATATTTTGTTATCCCCATTCAGGGACCCTCATCCACTCTGGAAAATCCTTTCACTGGGAGGAGGGAAATTATCAGCCAGGCCTTCCTGATCAGGAACGTGGCAGATTCAGGATTGGACCTACTACTCAACTCACTGAGCAAGAATACACAAAAACAGTACAACACCATGTTCAGAAAATTGTAGGAAATTAGCAGAGGTGATATCAAGAAGTTACTAACGTCCGATATAAATAAAATTACATAGTTTCTCAGGATGGAATATGATGAAGAAGCAAAATACTCCACACTCAATACACAGAAGACAGCTTTAAAATTAATATTGGATTTAAATTGAAGTCAATCAAACATTGTGAATATGTACCTGAAAAGGCGTATTCAAAAATCGCCCTTGCTTTCCAAGATACGATGATACTTGGGATACAACCCCAGCTATTAACGCTGTTGATGGCTTTAACGTCGGCTCGGAGGGCCCAAACATTTAGCAAAATTCAACTATCAAACATAGAAAAGAAGGAAGAAGAGGGCTATACTAAAAACCTCAGATCCAAACAGGTAACAGCAAAGAATGGTATTTCCGTTCTTCAGAGAGAATCCGAAACTCTGCACAGTTTCCACCCTCATTTTCTACATAGAACAAACAGAAAACTATTTATTGATGTCACAAACAAACCTCATGGTTCGGTGACTCCCCAAACCGCCAGAATATGGATAAAAGATATAATGAAATATCGTTGTGTAGTTTACAATATTTAGTGGATGTTCTATTGTCTATTCATATTATATTTTCGAATTATTTGTATCTATTTATGTAGGTAATAGAATCAATTGAAATTAAATTCATATGAATTTAAATCACCCAAGATCGCCTCAACTTTGAACATTTTGAAAATAGCCAGGAAAGTACTTAGTTGTTTTCTGTTGAATATTCAGAATGATATTATGTGCATATACATATTTTCATCTGAAGGAGAATGCAAATTCTCAACTTTAGAAGATTTTGTTTTCAAATTCCTATAGTGTGTGTCCAATAGATATAATTCAATGTTCGTCGTGGCATATAGCCAGGAAAGTAGTTGTTTTTCATCACATAGAGAATGCGAATTCCAATGCATTTCTTCATATATACAGGGTCCGGACGATTTAATAGGGGCAGTATTGCTATCTCCTAAACGGTAAGATATAGATAGTTGATTAAATTAGACAAATGTTGCGTAATTTTTATTTATTGTCTACGTCAATATCAGAGATAGAAATTCGAAATTTAGCGTTAATAGGTAATTAATCATGACGAAGACGTTGGAATTGTCAGAAATATTCTATCATCAATATTTTCGAAGATTCACCATGCAACTTTCGTTTTTCTTATGTTGTTTTTTATACAATTGAATAGGGCAAAACTTACCTTCACAGCCATGTATAACATATTGACATTATCATTATATAACATTGACATTATCATTATATAATATTAATGCAATACCACAATCTATATCATCCTTGCCCATAGGAAAATTCAAAACAAAAATGAAAAATATTCTGTTCAATATGTGTTGCGGATTTCTATACAAGCATTGCTACATTTGGGAAAGGTTGACTCACCTTTGTGTTTGTCTATTTCGTTTTGTATCTTTTTTTGGTTTAGAAGTTTGTTTTATACAGGGTGTCCCAAAATTGTTGGGACACAGCTACCACGTATAGAGGAGGTCAGAATAAGTCGATTGGACCCAATTTATTTATGCGCCAAAATGTACAGTTTGTCCGTGAGAAGGGTTCAAAGTTCACATAAAAATACACATTTTTGTACGCCGTTGAGAAATAAGTGAAACGAATTTGATGAAATTTGGCAATAGTGTATTTCAGAGGATTACTTTCCTTTTGGTAATCGAAACCTAAAAGGAATTGTAAAAGGGTTAAAACCACCCTCACTCCCTAACATTTTTTTCACAACTTTTTTAGGGGTCATAAAACGGTTCTGAAATTATTTGAGCTTGAAGACTAATCAATTACCTTCATTTTTTACTCTTGTAAATATTTCGTATACCGCATAGTTTCGAAGAAAAAAATGTTCTCTCAAATAATGCTACCAGATATTCCTATAGTACAAGTTTGATTAAATTGTGATATAAAACTTAGTTGGCAGTGGAAACAAAAGCAGAACGTTTCTTCATAATGAATGTTCAACATAATGTCCACCTTCATCAATACAAATATCAATTCGACGTAAAAAATTGAAATGCACCCTACTCAGGACATCGTCATTGTCTCGTAGTGCTTCAACGGCATTTTGGATTCTGTTCCACAGCTGATCGGAAGTATCAATTTAAACGTGATTAAATTTGGTCCAATCAACTTATTCTGACCTCCTCTACAGGTGGTAGCTCTGTGTCCCAGCAATTTTGGGACACCCTGTACAATAATTAGTACTTTATACATATATAGGTACACCCTGTCGTTTTCTATGTTTCTGTTTTACAAACTTCATGACGTTTCCAAAAATGTACATTTAATGAAAGAATTAACCTATCTATCTATCGCATGAAATAGCACCAAAAACAGTAAAAACCATTTTTTGCTGGATATCACTGCTTAAAATTGAACTGCTCTACATTTTTCAATGTGGTTGGCCCATGATAATAAGAAAACTAAATATCAGTCTATGACTACAGCATTTATACTTCTTGAGTCATCTATGACACGCTTCTTCAATAAGCAAAAAGGAGAAAATGGCAGAGAAAAACCAAGAGATCAATTTTTTCGTTGAATAAACAAGATACAATTACCCCAAATTCATATGCTTTGGAATAAAATCTGAAATCAGATTCAATGTGTGAGGATCAGCAAGTTTATTTACAAACCAATAAAATATTGAGAACGATTCAATGAAAATTGATAAATAGTTGATTTTATCATAAAAAATAACGAAATTAAACTCGAATCAAGACCGAGCTCAACACTGGACAAAAACCTTCAATAATATTTTTATAAGTGTTGTTCAAGGTGTCCGCAATTATTTTCGATACATTTTTGGGTTCTTAACCGCAACTGTCCTATTGCACTCGATACAACAAATTCAGGTGTTATAACTCTGAAAACCAAAGTAATTCTCTGCCACAATTCCTCAACGCTATCAACTCCATTGTGGCAAACTTTATTATTCAGGAATCCCCATAAAAAATAAACGAGAGGATTGAGACAAGACGACCTAGGAGGCCACCTTACAGGACCATACGTCCCAATCCATCTATCTGTGAAATTAGTATTCAAGAAATCTCGGGCAAAGGCAGAATTGTGAGCTGCACAAGCATCTTGCAGAAACCATTCAATGTCCTGTAAGGTTGCTAAAGGTAATTCTTCCATAATTTCTGTCAACAAATCGAAAACCCTTCAATAAATTGGGCACCAATAACCTGGTTTCCAATAATCCCATAACATATATTGAGACTAAAACGAATTTGGGGTCTGGTTTGCTTCGTCAAATGAGGATATTCCGTTGGATAAAAATGTTTATTTTTTCTATTAAAGATGCCACTATTTGTGAATTATGTTTCATCCGTCCATAAAATTGTGTTTTGAAATAATAATTGGTCGTTTAACATTTCTTGGTACCAATTGCAAAATGTAAGCCTACGCTCGGGATCTCCAGGGTGAAGTTTTTGAACGATTTTATACTTAAAATCGTGGTACTTGTTTTTCAAGAATTTTCTGAATCAACGTTGCGCTCATCCACATTTGTTACTAATGGATATTGAAGAAAGTTCGGGATTGATATTCACTTGTGCCAACACATTGATTTCATTATGTGTATTTCTAACACGGTACTTGCCTCGTTTCTTGAAACCTCATCCAAATTCTGTTAAATTTCTTGACATTGAATAAAATGTTTTTCTTGAAGACGAATTTCTATCTGGATATAATCTAGCATATTCTCGAACTGCATTATCAACTCTCCTATAATACCTAATGTAAACGTCATGCATATATTTTTTTCACTGAGTCACTATAACGCACCATTTTACAATTTTCGAAAATTTGAAAAACTCACTTCAAAATGATTCGAGATCAATACTGTAGTCATAGTGATTTGAATATTCTGTTTTCTTATTATAATGACCCACCACATTTTAAAATGTATGGCAGTCAAGTTTGAGCAGTGACAACTAGCAAAAAATGTTTTTTGACGCTGTTTCATGTGATCATGTCGATATGTTATACATGGCTGTAAAGGGAATTTTTAGCCCTATTGAATGGTATAAAGAACAAATATGGCGCCAATGAAAAAAACAAAAGTTGCATAGTAGGTATACCTCGGAATCTGATGAAGATTTAATATTCCTGATAATTTCTACTTCTTTGTCTTGATTGAATACCTAATCACACAAATTTTCATTTTTTTTATCGAACATCAACTGAAAAAATGAATCAAAACAAAATCAGCGATTTTTCGTAATTTCAAAATGTTTCATGAACGGATGAATATTTTTCATTCGTTCATGAGATATCAGTTTGCGAAACGGCATATTGAAGAGGTTGAAATTACGCAACTTTTGTCTAATTTTATTAACTTTCTATCTCTTACCTTTTAGGATATAGCAATACTGTCCCTATTAAATCGCCCGGACCCTGTATATCCATTTTTTCATGCTCATAATTTTATCTGAGAATATTCCTTTTTGATAAAGATATTCTTTAATACCTTGGTGTATGAATAACTATTTTGAACCCTGTATTATACAATTTTATTAAGACTCACCTGGATAATCATTGCTTATATATTTTTCCAAAGACGATCTCAAGCCACTTGAAGAGGAAATGTCAATATGTATCCCATATGTGGCTAGACTGTTCTGGAGATCAACCAACATTGTCTGCTTTGGTTTTTCATGACATCTCAAGAATGCCATATCAGGAAACGCTTCGTAAATTTTTTCAGCGACAGATATATTAGCTAACAACATGAACTCCTCAATTAGTCGATGGGATTCTTTATTCTCATATTTTGAGTAATCAACTGGTTTTCCAGATTCTGCATCCAAGGTGAAGTATAACTTAACCTGGTCAATTTTGAGGGCTCCGTTCATAATTCTCTTCTCTCTAAATATTACGGCAATATTTTGTAGAACATTAACGGTATTGACAATATCTTCCGGCCGGAAGCCATTGTGGATCTCAGGAAAATCACTATCACTGAATTTCTTATCAGGGTTTTCAATAATCTCTTGAGCGTGCTCATATGCTAATTTGCTGCAGGAATTGATAATGGTTCTCGTGTACCTCTTGCTGAGGATCTCACCATCTTTTGTTATTTCCCAAAACACTGAGAAAGCTAATTTATCTTCTCCTGGTAGAAGAGAACAATGTAAACATAATTCTACCGGTAGCATATGATAGACAGAATCTACCATGTATATGGTAGTCGCCTTTTTACTAACAATCTGATCTAGTTCACTGCCTTGTTCCAGGTAATAACTCACATCAGATATATGAACTCCAACTTCGTAATTACCGTTGGTTAAAATCTTCACTGAAACAGCATCGTCGAGGTCTCGCGCTGTAGCAGGGTCTATCGTAAACACACATTCTTTTCTTATGTCTTCACGTCGTTCAATTTCCTCCTTGGATATATGGAAACTCTGGGGTAAATATTCCCTTACTTCTTCCCCAAATGGTGTTGTATCCAAGCAGAACTCTTTCAATATTGACAACGTTTCTACTTTCAGGTCTCCTACAAGACCTAAATTTTCTGTCAACACTCCTGAGGCATATGACGGAACTGTCCAACGCAGTATTTTAGCCATACATAATATGTTTGCATATTTTTTGGGATCATCCTTGAAACCATTGGGCCAATGAGATTCAGGAATTCGAATAGAAGGAATCCTTTTATCTCTGGGATGAAAGATGGCATACTCTGCATTTTTCGATTTTCGGGCCTTCAAAATACCAACGGCAAGTCTTGAGTGAACCTCAAAAAATAAGAAACATTTTACAAAATCACCAAATAGGATGTTTGACGATATTCAGTCAATGAAGAAACTAGAACTCAGAATCTATATGGTTTATTAAACTCACATTACGATTACGCTGGAGATGAACTCTGATGAGTCCTACTTGATTGATTGATTGATTGATTGATAGATAGACGTAGATAGATAGATAGATAAATGGATGAAAGTCATTGAAATAAAAAATAATGTGATTCATGTTTGAAATTTCTGAATTTTTGGATATTGATCTACTGATTGTGACCCTCGAATTCAACAAATGACGTGTGGAAATATTCTACTATATAAAAACATTGATAAAATTTTTTTCTCAATTGCGGACACCCGTTAACCTAATACTCCTAGGGAGACAACTGAATGAATTCAGATGTAGCATTTTTTGTCCACTTTGCCAGCCTGTGATTCGATACTCTTAGATTATTAGCATTCCTTGTCATAAACTTATGAATATCTGCATTTGTCGCGAGATTCGTTAAATTTTTTTCTTACCACTCTTTTTTTACCTTGGTATGTATCTTTATTAACGGAATCTTCGAACGCGATTTTAAACCACTTCAAACCGTCGAATTACATTTGAACGTCGCGCACTTATCAAGGACCGATGACAATAGCATAATTTGATAGTTTTGTTCTACTATCTGGATTGGGATCTTCAGTATGATCAGTGTGAAACCAGCCACGAGTTCGCCAATTATTCGAGGCGCGCGCCATACCAGCAATGGTCATTTATTACTAATTTATGCTCGTGGCTGGCCATGAAATTACTAAAACCTCCAAAATATGTCCGTGGATGGAATTATTTTCTATAAATGGTTTCCTCTAGGGGTCCTTGATGATCTGTATATCTCACAATATTTTGTTGGGTAACAATAATCCCACAAGACCCCTTTTTGTGAATTTCGGAGAACAATCAGAATTTTTCGAAATAAACGTGGATGGGAGCTTTCCCATAAATGAGTTCCTCTGTTGGTACTTGATGTGTGTATCTCATAATATTTTGTCGAGCAAGAAATGACCCCACAGGCCCCTTTTTTTGAAAATGCGGAAATAAAATCATAACTTTTTCAAAATACACGTGGATGGGAGTTTTTTCTATGAATGTGTTCCTCTAATAGTACTTGATGATGTGAATATCTCACAATATTTCATCGGACAAGAATCAACCCCACAGGCAGCCTTTTATGGGATTTAGAAAAAAATCACAACTTCTTCCAAATACACGTGGATGGGAAAAAGTTAAATTTTTTTTTAAGTCCAAAAATGGGGCCCTGTGGGGTTAATTCTTGCCAAACACAATATTTTGAGATATACACATTATAAACTACCATTAGAAGAACATATTCACAGAAATAAACTCCCATCAACGTGTATTGTGAAAAAGAAATGTTTTTTTTTTCAAAATTCGAAAAAATGGGGCCTGTGGGGTTAATTCTTAAACGACAAAATATTGTGAGGTATACACATTATCGAGTACCACAATAGGAGGAACACATTCATGGAAAAAACTCCCATCCACGTTTATTTTGAAAATATTCATTATTGTTTTCGAAATTCACAAGAACGGGTGGAGTTTATTGTTGCCCAAAATATTGTGAGATATACAGATTATTAAGGACCCTTAGAAGAATACATTAATGGAATATTGTTTCATCCACAGACATATTCTGGAGGTTTTAGTAATGTCATGGCCAGCCACGAATATAAATTAGTAATAAACAACCATTGGTGCCATGGCGCGCGCCTAGAATAATTGGCGAAGTCGTGTCAGATACCCTTGGCTGGTTTCACACTGATTTTGAGGAGACGGGTGTGAAAGCAGCAACGGTTTTTCTAGCAAAGGTTTTTTAACTTCGCTTACATGGTGTATGAAGGAAGGACATTTTTCATTGCTGGAATTTTTTTATGCGAGTCCACTATAAATTCAGTTGAAATTCCAGTTGTCCGATGGTTTTTGATGGAAATGGATTATTCTATACCTGCTGAATACACTCTATGGGATGAAATAATTTGTGAACCAAAAACTACCCCTCAATAATCCTCAGTAGAAATATCTTGAAACAGTTGAAATTGCTTTGCACGAGATTTTTTTGATGGAAATGAATTATTCTATACATGCTGGATACTCTCTATGGGGTGACATGATTTGTGAACCAAAAACTACCCCTCAACAACCCTCCGAAGTAAACAATCGCAAATCAGTTGAAATTTCCATTGCACGAGATTTTTTGATGGAAATGAATTATTCGAAACCAGCTGAATACGCTCTATCGAGTGAAATGATTTGTGAATCAAAAACTACCCCTCAACAACCCTTCGAAGAAGAAAATCTTAAATCAGTTGAAATTCCCGTTGAAATAGATTTTTTGATAGAAATAAATTATTATAGACTTGCTGAATACGCTTCATGGAATGAAATAATTTCTGAATCAAAACATACCCCTCAACCACCTTCCGAATTAAAAAAATTATAAACCAGTAGGAATTCCCGTTGCTCGAAGTTTTTTTTATGGAAATGAATTATTCTGGACCTAATGAATACGCTCTATGGGATGAAATAATGTGTGAACCAAAAACTACCGCTCAATAATCCTCAGTAGAAATATCTTGAAACAGTTGAAATTGCTTTGCACGAGATTTTTTTGATGGAAATGAATTATTCTATACATGCTGGATATTCTCTATGGGGTGACATGATTTGTGAACCAAAAACTACCCCTCAACAACCCTCCGAAGTAAACAATCGCAAATCAGTTGAAATTCCCATTGCACGAGATTTTTTGATGGAAATGAATTATTCGAAACCAGCTGAATACGCTCTATCGAGTGAAATGATTTGTGAATCAAAAACTACCCCTCAACAACCCTTCGAAGAAGAAAATCATAAATCAGTTGAAATTCCCGTTGAAATAGATTTTTTGATAGAAATAAATTATTATAGACTTGCTGAATACGCTTCATGGAATGAAATAATTTCTGAATCAAAACATACCCCTCAACCACCTTCCGAATTAGAAAAATTATAAACCAGTAGGAATTCCCGTTGCTCGAAGTTTTTTTTATGGAAATGAATTATTCTGAACCTAATGAATACGCTCTATGGGATGAAATAATGTGTGAACCAAAAACTACCGCTCAATAATCCTCAGTAGAAATATCTTGAAACAGTTGAAATTGCTTTGCACGAGATTTTTTTGATGGAAATGAATTATTCTATACATGCTGGATATTCTCTATGGGGTGACATGATTTGTGAACCAAAAACTACCCCTCAACAACCCTCCGAAGTAAACAATCGCAAATCAGTTGAAATTCCCATTGCACGAGATTTTTTGATGGAAATGAATTATTCGAAACCAGCTGAATACGCTCTATGGGTGAAATAACTTGTGAACTAGAAACTACCCCTCAACAACCCTCCGAAGTGAAAAATCGCAAATCAGTTGAAATTCCCGTTGCACAAGAGTTTTTGATGAGAATCAATTATTCTAGACCTGCTAAATACGTTCTATGGAGTGAAATAGTTTGTGAATCAAGAACTACCCCTCAACGACTCTCCGAATTAGAAAATCATAAATGTGTTGCGATTCCCGTTGCTCGAAGTTTTTTTGATGAAAATGAATTATTCTAAACCTGCTGAATACGCTCTATGAGGTGAAATAATTTACGAATATTTCAACTGATTTATGATTTTTTCATTTCGGAGGGTTGTTGAGGGGTTCACAAATTATTTCACCCCATAAAGCATATTCAGCAGATTCGAAATGATCGATTTTCATCAAAAAACTTCGAGCAACGAGAATTTATGAGGTTTATGAAGATTTTTTTCAATTTTTCTATTTTGTGAAGTAATTGATGGGTACATTTAGGTGCACAAATCATTTCACCTATTAGAGCGTATTCAGCAGATCTAGAATAATCCATTTCCATAAAAAAATCTTTTGCAACGGGAATTTCTACCGATTTACGATTTTTCCATCTTGGAGGGTTGTTGAGGAGTAGTTTGAGATTCACAAATTATTCCACCCCATCAAGCGTATTCATCAGGTTTAGAATAGTTCATTTCCATCAGAAAACTTCGAGTAACGAGAATTTCAACTGATTTACGATTTTCAATTTCGGAGGGTTGTTGATTCACAAATTATTTCACCCCATAGAGCGTATTTAGCAGGTATAGAATAATTAATTTATATCAAAAAACTTCGAGCAACGGGAATTTCAACTGATTTATGATTTTCTATTTCGGAGAGGTTGGGGGGTAGTTTTTTATTCACAAACTATTGCAGTCCATAGAGCGTATTTAGCAGGTCTATAATTCATTTCCATGAAAAAATCTCGTGCAACGAGAATATCAACTGAATTATGATTTTTCTATTCCGGAGGGTTGTTGAGGGGTAGTTTTTGGTTCACAAAATATTTCACCCCATCGAGCGTATTCATCAGGTTTAGAATAGTTCATTTCCATCGAAAAACTTCGAGCAACCCCATCAGGTTCCGAATAATTGATTTCCATTGAAAAATTTAGAGCAATGGGAATTTCAACTGGTTTATGATTTTTCTAATTCGAACGGTTGTTGAAGGGTAGTTTTTGGTTCACAAATTATTTCACTTCATAGAGCGTATCCAGAAAGCCTATAGAATAATTCATTTCCATCAAAAAATCTCGTGGAAAGGAATTTCTCAACTGCTTTAAGATTTGTCTACTTCTGAGGGTTATTGAAGGTACTATTTTATTCATTTCACTCCATAGACTTTATTCAGCAGGACTAGAATAATCCATAACCATAAAAAACATCGGCAACGGGAATTTCAACTGAATTCAGATTTTTCTACTCCGGAGGATTGTTAAGGGGTAGTTTCTAGTTCACAAATAATTTTATTGTATGGAGGATGTCCAATTAATGTAAAATTATTGATTCGCATAATAAAATCATGATCAACTATTTTCATGATTTTTCTGTTTT